CACCGCAGCCTGTAGTTCACTCGGGAGCGACTGTCCAGCCTGTATATCCACAGCCCTCGCACATCTGGGAGAGCAAACGGAGAACAGCACAACTTGGTTGGGGTCTTGCCTTGTGCTGAGGGGGATCCCGTGAGACAACTGTCCCCGGCCATTGACCTCACACGAGGTCTCCAGGCTCCCTCTAGAGCCAGTGTGGCTGTGGCAAGCCACAGCAGGACACAGGACACCAGTGCTCTGCTCTCGGTGGCCAACCCTTTCCCGGTGGCTTCACTGGCCCATTACTTTGCAGGGATACATGCTGGGGACATGCTCCTGGCACAGAGCACACGGCTCCTTCCATCCCACCCACTCTGAGGGCTCCCCCAGTGCCATACCAGTGCCGGCGCTGCTGTGCTGATCAGGTCGGTATTTGACAGCTGGTGGCTTTTGAGTCAGCTCGTTATTTTGGGCATAGCCATCACCGCTGTATGGAGAGAGGAGGTTTAGGTTCACCCTCCTAACACAACCCTCCTCGCCTCTCCGTAGAGCAGCTAGGGTGGGAACTGCTGCTGTTTGCAGGAGAGAAGGTTTAAAAAAGGACAAGGTTGCTCCGAGGGTGGGAGCTGTTCTGTCCTGGCGATAATGTCTCCAATGGTCCCAACATAGCTCTGGGAGAAATCCCTGCCCTCCCAAAATGCAGCCACACATGTGCACAACACCTGGAGAAGCCGATCAGCACATTGCCCGCAGCCAGCTTGGCATAGTCCCACCGCATCCTGCTGTCCTGGTAAAGCAGCAGAGCGAAGGAACGGTTCCCATCGGTGGTGAGGACTGCCTGGTAGGTGCTCGTCTGGAGAAACCCAAGGCATCCCCTTTAGCACCCCCAAATCCTCCCTTGCTCTCCCCGTAGTACAGACTGAGGCGGTGAGACCTGAAATGCATGCACCAACCCACAGGAGACCAGCAGCCCAGCCCTGCCCCAGCCATCTCTGGTAATGGTCTCCTCTGTCACCTGGGTCCCCACTGTTTACCTGAGTGTCATCCTGCTGGGATGGGTATGCTGGAGCCTTCTCCCATGTCACCTTCAATGTCCATTTTGCTACGTAGGGAGTTTTCAGGTATTTCTCAATCTTTGCTTCCACGTCACGGACAAGGGGGTTTTGGGTAGAGCTGAGGGTGGAGTACTCCTGCCAATTGGCAAGAGAGAGGGTTAAACGAGCAAGCTGGGAGCTGGGGTCTCCCAGGAGAACATCTTTGGTGTCCCCGACCTGGTACCAGGTGGTGCCAACACCCTGGGAGAAATCTGCGTCGTCCCAAAAGGCGGCCACCATTGGCAAACCTTCCTGGCCACTGAAGCCTTGGGGAGGTGGGTTGGGGTTGGAGGGGATGTAGTTGTCCGTGGGTGGGAAAATGATCTGCCCGTTATCTGTAAACTAACCAAAATAACTTGTTATTTGCTGACATCCCAAGCAGCTCCTGGGATGGCTTTTAGCCTTCATGGGTGAGCAGAAACCAGCCATTTTAAATTGCAAAAAAAGTTAACATGCAGAAGAAATTCAGTTTCTGTTGCATTTCTGTTGGATTTTTTCTGCCAAAGAGGCTGTACATCTCTTACGTGCTCAGCGAGGGGGAACTCACGTAGAGAGCATCCTGCAGTGACTTCCCAAAGGGGAACCCAATCTCTGGCTTGAACAGGGGGCAGTTAAAATCCACCGTTCTCTGGACGCACTCTTTGTCACCTCCATCCATGCCAAAGGGGTAGAGTGGAACTGCTGGCACTGACACGGGCAGGGGATTAAATGAAAAGGTGAAAAACTGTAACTGTCTGCTCCATCCTTCCAGCGGGCAGGGCAAACTCACCTGCTTGCCACTGGGATGCCATGCCTGCACTCCCCATGGCCAAACCAGCTTGTAACCCAATTTTTAACCCAGTTTTCAACTTGTAATAGGATGCTCTCAGATGTCCTATTTTACCTTTCCCTGTGAATCTGGCAGCACAATGTGCAATGCAGGCGAGTCACCGTGGGCCGGGCCATACCCTCAGCCATCACAGTGCTTGGCCAGCTGAAACCCCCACCTGCTTCTCACTTTTGGAAGAAGAGTATCTACTTACTGATAGGCCCATGGGAGGGTAGGGGCTCAGGGGCAGGATTTCTGTGGCCAGCAGTGGTGCGGACAGGTGTGTCTGGGGCTGGGGTCAGAGCCATCTTTGTCCTGAACGCAGGAGCCAGGGCTGTGGCAGGGCTGGTGCTGCCAGGTGGTCTCCACGGTGCCACAGTGCTTGGGACCATGAGAATTCCTTCCTGATTCCCTGGGCTCACTGGGGCTGTGGAACCAACAGCCACGGAGCTCCCTGAAGGGATAGCAGTGGTGCTGCCTGCAGCAACGGCCGTGGTGCTGCCTGCAGGGATGCCCGTGGTGCTACCTGCAGCAATGCCCGTGGTGCTACCTGTAGGGATGGCCGTGGTGCTGCCTTCAGCGATTGCCGTGG